TCGGCTCATTTTCAGTGTGTTTTCGTGAGGAAGCTTGACAATGAATTTCGAAACAAAGCCAAAAGACAACGACAATTGTGGAACAAGAAATGGGGTGGACAAAGGCGAACACAATTGCCAAGGCTGTGTTCTTCTTTTTTTTTTTTTTTTTGCACAATAGCATTGGTAGATGCGACAGTGTGGATACCCCTTCAAAAAATCGTACAATGAACTGAAATAAAAGAGTGACTCAAAGGCCGACGAGCAGTAGACAAAGTGAGCAAAGAAACTGTCTTAAAATTTCGGAAAGTGCAGCGCTTTGTTCACGCAGGCACTTACTTGTGTAATGACGAAGTTTGCATATGCATCCCCAGTGATCAGGTCAACTTTGTGGCCACAGCAACCATCTCCCAAGCGGCTCCGCCAGCCTGATCCGCGCTCTTCGCATCCACAGACCAGGACAGTGCTTGGGTCCGAGTTGCGAAGCATACCCGATAATCTTCCCAGTCTGCCCTTGGCCCCATCCAAATGATGGCCTTCAAGTTCCCGGCGCCATGTCTTGAGATATAGTCGGTGATTAGCCCCACTCTCTTCGGGTATACAAACATCCAGACGGATGCCTGTTCCGCGAGAGAGTCCATAAATCTGGAGCCGGGCACAACCCTGTGGTGGGTAGGGGGTAAATAACGGTTGGAGCTTGGGTGAACCTCGACCCCGGTTATGGGCATATCGTAAGGAGGAGCCAGCATAATGGCCTCGAGTAAACCATATCCACTGCCTACCGAGAGCACTGGGCCGGGGTTCGACAATAAAGTGGTACGGAGGTAACAAAGCAGACGTGAGCTTAATGCCAGGCAGCATCCAGAGTAGACCTTTGGCATTGAAGTGAGTATGGGTAGATTCGATACATCGACTGAGCTGTCCTCTTTCTCGTCCTGGATGGCCATTTTGTGCGATGGAGAGGCTGAACTACACCATGGGCAGTGTGGCTGAGTACGCGATGGCCATGAGGCGGAGCAGCGGACTATTACGGTATTCAGCAGTTGAGAGGCAACCGCACAACCTCCGAGGCAGCCGAAAACAGTGAGATCAGTCCGGTGTCAAAGTGTCGTTGATGGATGAAGGTTTTGGAGGGGTGAGGTGCAAATAAAGTCGCTTAGTCATGGGGTGGCCATAGCTCCCTTCCCCACACCGCGGCGAGCAAGCTTCCAAGGTTCTGCTACACCAGCCACCCCACCACATATGACCGAATGGCGACGACTATCTTCTCCTGCATGTCGGATGGCCTGATGATCTGAAAAGCACGCAAATATGGCTCGTTGGAAGAGCCCGTTCGCCTTCACACCCGGCCCTGTCATCGTCCTGACGACGGTCACCTACATAGCCTTGTTCGCGGCTTTACTCTCTGTCCACCTAACAGTTCCAAAACATCCGTCCGCGACGCCGCTTGGGACCAACTTGACGCAGGCTTGGTCGGACCTGGAGCACATCACACGCCGTTTTCATCCATACAATGCTCCGGACAACGACCGAGTCCGGAAGTACCTCCTCTCGCGCATCCACGACATTGTGTCTGCCAGGAATCTTGCAAATGACAGAGTGCAGATCATCGACGACAATGTTTCCAATGCCACATTCTCCTCTCGCAATACTACCGTGTACTTTGAAGGCACCAACATCATGGTAGCCATTCGCGGATCTGCAGACAAGGAGCCATTCTACGACACCGAACAGCCACGCAGCCGCCACAACGGAGGTGTTCTTGTGAATGCTCATTATGACTCTGTGAGCACCGGTTACGGCGCCACCGACGATGGAATGGGTGTGGTATCTGTCTTGCAGCTGCTGTCTTACTTCACCGAACCTGAGAATTGGCCGAGACGGACCGTGCTCCTCTTGCTCAACAACGGCGAGGAAGACTTCTTAAACGGAGCGAAAGCTTTCATGCGGCACCCAATCTCCCAAGTGGTGCATACTTTCCTCAATTTGGAGGGCGCAGGAGCCGGCGGACGGGCTGCCATGTTCAGGAGCACAGACGAAGAAGTCACGCGGGCTTATCGACAGTCTCGTCATCCTTTCGGGACAGTTGTCAGCGCTGATGGGTTTAAGCGTGGCCTTGTGGCAAGCCAGACCGACTACGTTGTTTTCAACGGCGAGCTGGGTCTTCGCGGGCTCGATCTTGCCTTCATGGAGCCACGAGCGCGATATCATACCATCGAAGACTCAACGCGAGAGACCTCGCTGGACTCCGTATGGCATATGCTGTCTGCAGCCATTACCACTACATCCGGGCTGGCATCGGACACGAGCGACGCATTCAGCGGCAGCGGCGAACCGCGAAGCGATGGAAAGGTAGACGCCGGGACTGGCTCAGGCGCCGTCTGGTTCGACATCTTCGGCAGGGCTTTCGTATTGTTCCGCCTGCACACTCTGTTTGCGCTGAACGTTACCTTGCTGGTCGTGTCTCCGCTTGTGCTGATCGGTCTCACCGTCGCCCTGTCTCAAGCCGACAAGAACTACCTGTTCGCGAGGAAGAAGTATATCCATTCGTCGGACGATGATAAGCCTGTCTACCTCAATGGCTGGAGGGGTTTCTTCCGGTTCCCCATTGCGTTCGTTGTGGCCACCGCCGGCGTAGTCGCACTGGCCTATCTCACTGTTAAGGTCAACCCGCACATCGTCCACAGCAGTCCCTATGCGGTCTGGGGGTAAGTGGAAGCACCATCTCGAGCTCGCCATTGCTAATACTTATAGCATGATGCTGTCCGCTTGGTTCTTCGCTCTCTGGTTCATCTTGCGTGGCGCAAGCGCCATGCGCCCTTCCGTCCTGCAGAGGATGTACGCCCTCATATGGCTGTTGTGCGGCAGCTACGCTCTTCTTGTTTTCGCCACTATTATGGCAAAGGACTTCGACGTGGCCGGGGGCTACTTTGTCATGTTTTACTTCGCTGCCGTCTTCTCTGCGCTGTGCCTGTCATACATCGAGTTGTTCTTTGCGCCGAGCAAATCCGCCTACGTCGCCCGTTTCGACAACGAACACCCTTCGCGCCACGACTCTGAAGTCGCAAGCCGGCCCATGACAGGTAGCACTACCGGCGCGCGATCCGATGACCGGGCTCCAGACGAAGAAGCCACAGAAACAACATCGTTACTCGGGAACCGCCGCACCTTTGCACGCTATGGGAGCAGGCATTCATACAGCGGGAGCCTGGAAAGGGAAGGACACGCCAGCGTTGACTTGGGCACACCGTATCACGAAGAACAAGAATGGAGTGGCCGCATGCCCAGCTCGATTTGGTTCCTCCAGTTGCTGCTCATCGCACCCATTAACGTTGTCCTCGTAGGTCAGATCGCTTTACTGCTCACTTCCGCGTTATACCAGACACCGCAAGACGGCGGCTCCTCGCTCTTCATCTACATCGCTTTCGCCGCCCTCACGACACTCATTCTCGCTCCCGCCGGCCCTTTCATCCACCGCTTCACATACCACATCCCGATCGCCCTTCTCCTCGTCTGCGCCGGCACGCTCATCTACAACCTCATCGCCTTCCCTTTTTCGAGCGACCACAGACTCAAAGTCTACTTTATCCAACAAGTGGATCTCGACACAGGCGCCAACGCCGTCTCCCTCACAGGCCTCAACGAATACGTACAAAAAGTCATCCAAGACATCCCCAGTGCCCGCGGCCAGGACATCAACTGCACAACACCGGAAGTTGCATCGCGTGCAAAACTAATAAAGTGCTCGTGGACTGGCCTCCCCGCTCGTGTCGTCCCCGCAGCGTCTACGAACCAATCCTACTTCGACACATGGCTCGACTACTCCGTGGCCCCTTCCTCCACACACAACGCTACCATCTCCCTCCGCGGCGAAAACACACGCGCGTGCCGCATCACCTTTGAAAGCCCCGTGCGACATCTCGCTGTCGAAGGCGGCGCTTTGGACCCGCGCTTCAACGCGACAGGTGAGAAGGGGTCCAGCGAGATCAGATTGTGGCATCGCGAGTGGTCGCAGCCCTGGAACGTGAGTGTGAGCTGGGACGACGCGGAGAAGGGTGTTAAGAGGGGGAAAGTAGGATGTCTTTGGTCTGATGCGAATGACGGGGCTATCCCGGCGTGGGATGAGGTTGTGCATTATTTGCCGGTGTGGGCGGTCGCGAGTAAGTATAGTGATGGGTTGGTTGAGGGGTGGAGGGGCTGGGAGATCGATGTGTGATGCGTTGTAGGGGTGAGGGAGAAGATAGAAGAGAGGATCTGGAGATTGAGGACGGACAGAGGGTCTAAGAGTGGGGGCTGAGGGTCGAGACATGGTATTTGATTGAGGGTATTTGTTGGTTTTGCAAGCACTGGATGCATTTATGCTGGCGCTGCGGCGTTCTTGTAATTTCTTTATTTACTTCCGTCTATCTCGTACATCGATTCTGCCTATATATGATTGCATGGTCTGTTACTGCGTTTCTCGTGCGTCTTCTCCTGCTCCCTCGTCACCAATACTTAACAACCCCGTCGCAGTATGGCCATCTCCGCTTGCCTGTTCCCTTCTCGCATTGCGTCCTTGCAGTACACCGGGCGCGAGGTCGAGCTTTTTCAAGCGAGGTACCCTAGGTACCTTTGCACTGCGGAAGGGACTCCTGTGCGACGCGAAAGAGTCAGGCCCAACACAGTGCCTCACGAGAGACCGGGAAGTTCATTCAGGACGCGCGCATGTACAAGATGGGGCACACATATGCGGCATGCTCAAGGCTTCCATCGTGGCGTGGTGGTAGGGCTACAGACAAGGTGGGCAAGTATTGAGATACATATACACATGCGAAGGAGGTCAGGAAAGAATGTTGATGAAAGGCATCACAAGAGCATAAGAGAAGAGAAATATGTTGAAGTGTTCATTCATTGTAATTGTACCCATTCAAGATTGCCATTCATTGTTCCACCATTGAAGAAGACCCCGGCCGACCATCATCCTTGAGTGTGGTTGAAGTGGTAGTGAGTCAAGTGGATGTGTGAGGATGACGAGTCAAGCCATGTCAGGTCAATCACAAAGTGCATACAGAAAAACCAAACCATTTACCGTGCCAGAGGCTCCATGCCAAACCATGCCCATGCCCATGCCCATGCCCAAGTACTCCCAGATGATACCAAGCAGCCAAGCCATATCGGCCAAAGGTCCTCTACCGATATTACCACTCCGGAACCAGAGATGTGCATGTGATTGTCCTGAAATCCTTGCGGAGCCGCCACACTCTGCACACCAGCCCAATGGCCACCCGAAGAGAATGCAGGGTGAGGATTGTACTAAGCCTGAACTCGAACGTTCCAGCCTTTCCGCTCGACTCAACCTCGCCTGCATCTCAACATCGCAAGTCCGAGATGCCAGCAACGAAGTGCTTCTGTCATCCGACTCGGAACATGCGCTCACTCGTCCCAGGAGGATCGAGGTCCAGCCCAAAGAAAACCAGACTCCACCTCTTTCTTCTTGCGACCTGTCTAGCCCATTCCGTCTCTTTCTGGCTGAGGGATGGCTGGCGAAGAGGATGACCGATGATGATGGAACCGAAGAACACGAGAAACCGAAAGTGGAAGAGGTGAGTCGATGTCGCATGGCAGTGGCGATGGAAGGTGGTGAAGTGGATGAGGTGTCGGAGTGTTGTGGAGTGAGGAGGCCCAAGGTGAGAACTGGATGACACTGCCATGCGAGCACCGGAGCTTGAAGGCGGTCAGTGAAGCTGAAGGTCACAACATAAAAAGACTTACTGGTAGACTGCAAGGCACCATGATGAGAGAAGAGCCGAAGCAGGAAGGCATTGGGTGGAGGTGTAAAAGTGGAAGTGACCTATGCTGGAGATGACTTGAAGTGATGCTGGCTCAAGGTGGAGTTGAGTTGAAGCGACGATGGCTCAAGGTGGAGTTGACTTGGTGTGACGATGGCTTAAGGTGGGATGGCTTAAGGTGGGATGGCTTAAGGTGGGATGGCTTAAGGTGGGATGGCTTAAGGTGGGATGGCCTGAGGTGAAGGTGGCTCAAGGTGAGCTCGACTGAATGAAGGTGAAGGTGACTCAAGGTGAAGGTGGCCTTGAGAGATTGAGAAGAGGTGGAAGGCCATGATGGCTGAAGGTGGATGACAAAAGAAGAGACTTCAAAATGGGTGTTGGATGAATCCATGGAGAACCTTCAGAACCTTGAGAATGGGATCGAAGTTGTGGATTGAAGTGGAGGAGGAAGAGGGAGGAACCGGGGGAGTTGGGGTTTATATAGTCGAGTGCGGCGGGCCCAAGCTTGCGCACTGGCGCCGTCAAGTGATAGCAGCTTCGGCGGCGGGACAGCGTCTGGCCCAGCCGGTGAGCCAATGAGAGAAGGCGATGGAGTTACAGAGATGATGGTTGTTCTTATCGTAACCTTCGGGGCCTTGCTAGAAGGGCATATTGGCGTGCTGGCGGTGCTGCTGCGGTGGGAGCTTCGCCGTAGAGTAAAGTTGACTGACGCTCTACGCAGCCGTGTGAGGACATGTGAGCTCATGGACGACGTTCGCAACGACTTCAATTTAGCCTTGGTCTGCCCGGACGCTCTTCTCGCTCGTGAGGCAGAGGTTTGTGTGGACAACTGAGGGCCCGGCAAAGTCGAGTGCGGGGACAGTGAATGTCGACCCTCGGGGCGCCAGGACCGCCATGTGGACTCAGGCAGGCTCACATTATGGAGTCATATTGAGTTGAGTAGCTTGAGCAAAGTGACAAAGTGAGCTATATTTGAGACTCATCTCCGAGTAACGTGTAATCTCTCAGTGCTGTGTGAAAAGGTTCCTGCGGGCGCAGTGAGAGCGCGCGAGAGTGTGTGGCCGGCGCTGGCCCTAATAGTATGTGGACATCTGTCTGGTTGAGCAGGTTGATTTAAATTATGAACACTCGTTCGTTGCGAAACAAGCGTCGTGGGAGCTTCACGGCCAGCGAGCAGGGTGAGCGGTGCGGGGCGCGCCAAAGCGAGCACCAAAGCACGAAGAAGAATGCGGTACACGTCGGAAGGGGATCTATAGTTACTCTCAAGCTTCTCGAAGGATTGAACTGCCTCTATGATACCTTCTTTGCATCCAGGAAAGTGAGAAGGTTCCCAGCGCGTTTGCCGACCTCTCTCACCACCGCGAGCCGCGCTGCCCAACAAATCGCACTTGAGCATAGACTCACTTGCAGTGACTAACTTCACCTCGTAATTTTTTGCCTCTTCAGCCCTCGCGAGATCCTCAGGTGCGACTCGCGGCAATCCTTCGCCCTCCTTTGCGCACCCTCCCCCGCTGCAATACCTTCCGCTTGACAGCTGGAAGTTCAAAGCCTCTCCGACCGACGATCAGAACCTCGACAACTCTCTCTACTACACAGACGTCAGCAAAGCCATCATTTCGCCACCGGGTGACTTTGATAACACCGTACCAGCCGCTTCTTGCCAGCGTCAGCAGCCTCTGCACCGGACGGCAGCCACCTGAGATCTCCTCCCTGCTTGAACCCCTACAACGACCACCTTATGTGTTTCATTGGTACGGCGGTAGCGCAGTCAGACCCTCTCGGGAGGCAGCTCTAGAGGCAGCGAGGGACGGGCCCTTCCTGCGACTCCGCCGTCGTCCTGGTCGCACATTCAGGTTCCGCATGATGAGTTCCGGCAGCTCGAGGCACAACATCGCTCCGACGATCAGACGAGACTTTGGTAGCGGCCGTAGGGCCATTTCCAGCAGCGGCGGCAGCAGCGCGCATAGCCGACCGCTTTTGCATCGCGAGCTCGTACTCCAAGGCACTGGGCGCCGCGCCCGCCAGCATTGCCGCGAGGACCGGTTCGAACAAGCTGCGCATCGAAAACGACTTGACGCTCTCAGCTTCAGGGCCCTGGGCCTGCTGAGCCAGTTTGGCATCCGCCTTGTCCGTCTTCCTGCTCACTCCTGTGCTTTCCGGTCGCTGCGTCGTCACCCGTCGTTCCCTCACCCGCTCCAGCCTCGCCACCTCGTTCTGAGCTTCCGCGGTATGTCTGTCTTGTCTCAACATGCGCTTTGGGTGCGGCACAAGCCGAGAAAAACTGAGCTTTTGCTTACCCTCTCCAGACTTGCGCCGCTCACCCTCGCTGCTATGAACCGAATTCCTAACACCATTTCGAACCTCGTCCCGCTTCCGATGAGCCGCTGTCAAGACCATCGCTCTGAATGACGCCTGCGCGACCACGTCTTCTTCATACATTCGCTTGATTACCCAGTCCTTCAGCTCCATACTCGCTTCATTGTTCAGGACTACTGCTTCCAAGACTTGCAGATCGGGCTTTTGGGCTGGCTTGAGCCACTTCGTCATCTCGCTCAAGATGTATGCCTGATAATCCGCGTCGCCGATGATCGTCCCGAAGATGTGGGATTCGAGAAGGTGTTTGCATTGCGCCCATGTACACGTTCCCTCGAGCGGATGCCTGGACTCAGTGGGATCCGCGGTCGAGGCAAAGTGCGATGAGATTGCCAGGTAGCTCAGGTAGCTGCGGACTGTGGATGTCGAAAGCGTAGAGACGAGGTGTGTTGGGATAGAGATTGTGCGCGGATTGTGGACACCGACGGTCATCGTGAAAGACGGGGTGGTATGGCCATCAGGGTTGAAAAGACTCTTGATCATTTGTTGTTCATGGAGCTTGAGCGTTCGGAAGTGGTCAGCAAAGCGAGCGGAGAGGTTTCGAGTGGCATAAGAGTCGGCCATAATAAGTGCGGCGAAAGCAGCGGTTCGACAGAATATCCAAGGGCAGTGGTGCGGAAAGTTATCTCCCCAAGCATCGGTGGTTATGTGCTACTTGTGTCAGTGAAGGTACGTCACCGACTTGCGGGCGGAGCATTCACGGCTTGTTTGTCACGGGACACTCAAGGCGCGGGAACAACTCACATCTACCCTAGGCACAAGCGCGTGGTCTGCCCAAGCCGGAGTACTCTTCCATTCATGTCGCCAGCAGCCCGTATGTATTCACGTGGCTTCCGGACACCGACCCTACCCGAGATCCGTGACCCAGACATACATAAGTTTCCCGACAGGCTCGACATAATTTTCTTGAACCCCACAGACTGGTCTTCTAAGGGCATCTCGATACACCGCACATCGATAGAGCGGTAAGTCGCAGTACAAACGGCGACCCTGTTCGAACACCAGTCCACGGAGCTTGCGCGTTTGCTTCCCTTCAGCGGGGTCAACTACTATTCGCAATGCGCTTCTTCTCGAAAAAGCGACGTGACAAGTCCTCATGACTCCCGGAACCGCAGCGCAGGAACGCTATCACCCCGGCCGAGTCTCCGCGACTAATGGCGGAACCGCACCCTAGGCATCGCTTGGTTGTCAAGAAATCGAAATCGATCAAAACGGACGCGCTCGGAGTACAGACAGATGCCTCCGAAAACGCAGACACATCGCTTACAGAAAACGACGGTTCGGAAGGGGATGATACAGGAGAGCATCGTTTCGACGAGAACACACTGAGTGAGAAGGACGCGAGCGAAGACGACGAAGAGCAGAAGGACTCTGAGCTTCATGGCGGAGAAGAACAGGATTCATTGCAGGAAGTGCAGAGCCAGGACAATCCGAGCACAGAAGGCGAACAAGGAGCCTATGGAAACTCCGATGATGGCAACGCTATAGCCGGACCTGCCAACACTGTAGCGCCTCGAGACATGCTGCTATTGCGGAGTTACGTTGACGCCAGGTTCTATGCATACTTTTTTGTCCCCGGAGAGTTCGGAGCGGGCGAAATGTCGCCTGTGTTGAGGAGGTTAGGATGGTTGTAAAGCGAGCAGCGGCGGTAGCATGCGGTAGATGTGGAATGGGTCTCGAGTGTGGTTGTAAGAATTGATTTGGTGCTGAGTGAGGGTGATGCTGATGTCATGTCCCCGTCTATGTGCCAGGCGTCGAAAGCTAACATTGAGTCGGGTGGTTGAGAGTGGTTCAAGAAACAGGAGAGATGAAGGGTACTTCGAAGCAGACAGCCTGTTCAATGTCTAACATTTTCTTGCGCGAGTTGCCTGATTCGGCAGGTTTGGCTGTGGGGCGTGCTGGTGTATACGCCGTCGTGCCCCGATAGTGACCGCTGACGGCATCGGCCGGAAGGGACGGTGTAAACCAATATGAAAAGACAGATACTCACCGCACAAAAAAATCAATTTGAATGTGAGGTATTGCAAACCCATTTTAATGCGGATAACTCCAGGCTACATGAAAGAGGGTGTCACCAACCTCCAGTACGCCGGCAGTGGCACACTATCCAAGGGCATAGATGAGTAAGTTAGACTGAAGACATTACTGGCAAAGGTGCAGCCCGACTAAATTATTGGTTTGGTACGGGAAGTTGTGAGAAAGTAGTACCATGCACCTTAAGGCGAGGCAGTGTCTCTGTCACGACAATAGACTGCGGACGCTGCCGCGACGTCCCGCTATACAACATACACGCACCGATGCAGTCAAAGCAATGGAGTCTCCTGTCAAGGTATTTGTGAATATGTTTGCAATTACGAGGTACAGGTCAATGGTGTACTGCGAGTACAGTTTGCTTTGCGGCAGCTCTAAACGTTACATCACACTGAGACAAACATTTTTCGGTCGCTGCGAGCCGAATGTCAATACTAGAACACGCCTCTCCCAATCAATGAATTACCTCCGGGCACCTTCACAGGCTAGGTTATTGGAAACTATATGAGCATGTCATCAAAGAACAACTTTGGAGCCAGAACCCGTCATCCTTTTGGAAGAGACTTCCGTATATTCATTCGCTGCTTGCGAAAACTTACGAAGTCTGCACTCCCAATCAAGGC